ATAGAAATAGAAGAATAGAAATAGAATAGAATAGAATTAGAAGAGAAAGAAGAGAAGAGAAGATAGAATAGAAATAGAAGAATAGAAATAGAATAGAATATAGAATAGAGTAGAATCAGAGAAGATAGAAGAAATAGAATAGAAATAGAATACAATATAGAATAGAATTAGTGGAGAGAAGATAAAATAGAAGAACAGAAATAGAATAGAATATAGAGGAGAGGAGAATTGAGGAGAGGAGAAGGGAAGGGAAAAGAAGAGAAGAGAAGAGAAGAGAAGAGAAGAGAAGAGAAGAGAAGAGAAAAAAGATTGAGAAGAGAATATTCTTTATTGGCCAAATGTGGAATTTGTCTCCAGTGCATAAGCAGTAAGCGATAAATCATGATTATAATCATAAAATACACTCATCATAAATCACAAGATACAACACTCGGCTGTTTAGTATCCTATGGTCATAGGATACTAAATAAGCAACCAACACAAATCACACTAGGATACCAAATAAAACAATATAAATGTTTTTTTTTAATTAAGAAGGGGAAGCTGTGGCAGGTTTTGTTGTTGTTTTTTTCCTAAATGTAGAAAATCACTACGTTGGTGAGGGAAAAAAACAACCCCCACAGACGGTTCTCAGAAACATCTTCGGTGCAGAAAAGCAGAGGCAAGGATGGGACCCTTAACCAAGATTGGTCGAAGGGGTCAGGAATGGGGGGACATCCGCTTACATTCGATGCATCGGCAGCCCATCCGAAGGCAGCGGGCGTAGGCTTCCAGGGAGGACTCACTGGAGAACTGGTCCCCCGTGAGGTACCTGCAAAGGAGGAGGAGGAGGAGAAGCCACCGGCCTGAAACTTCCTGACAAGGCCGCCGTGGGTTAGGAAAGGGAGAAGTTGGGAATGCGCTGGAGGAGGCCCCCAAGTCCACAATCCCTTAATGGCTTTCTTTCTTTCTTTCTTTCTTTCTTTCTTTCTTTCTTTCTTTCTTTCTTTCTCTTTCTTTCCTTCCTTTTCTCCCTTTTCCTTTCCTTCCTTACCTCCCTTTCTTTCCTTCCTTCCCTCCCTCTTTCCTTCCTTCCATCCTTCCCTTTCTTTCCTTCCTTCCCTCCCTCCTTCTTTCCCTCTCTTTCTTTTCTTTCTTCCTTCCTTCCCTCCCTCCCTCCCTCTTTCTTTCTTTTTTTCTTTCTTTCTTTCTTTTTCTTTCCTTCCTTCCTTCCCTCATTCCTTCCTTCCTTTCTTCCCTCCCTCCCTCTCTCTTTCTTTCCTTCCTTTTCTCCCTTTTTCTTTCCTTCCTTACCTCCCTTTCTTTCTTTCCTTTCTTCCTTCCTCCCCTCCCTCGTTCCTTCCTTCCTTCCTTCCCTCCCTTTCTTTCCTTCCTTCCCTCCCTCCCTTTCTTTCCTTCTTTCCCTCCCTCCCTCCCTCC